CCCTCAATAATGCTGTATTTATTTGAACTAAGGGATGTTTCACGGTGCACCATGTATTTTATGTTTCCTAACAAACACAAGTTTTTGTTTGGCTCTTGCAGAGGAACCTGACAGAGTATTTTTTAGCAGTCGATGTGAATAACATGCTTCAACTCTACGCTAGTATGCTTTATGAACGTCGGATCCTCATCTGCTGCAGCACACTGAGCACTGTAAGTTGAGTCCCCATGTTTTTACTGATTTTCTGCAATACCTGTCAAAGTAATGTGTTGAAGCTCATCCACAGTGTTGGGCCTGGTGTCTGTCAACTTCCTCTTCACAATATCCCACAGATTCTCTTTGGGGTTCAGGTCAGGGGAGTTGGCAGGCCAATTGAGCACAATAATACCATGGTCACTAAACCATTTAACGGTGGTTTTGGCAATGTGAGCAGGTGCCAGGTCGTGCTGAAAAATGTAATCTTCATCTCCATAGAGCTTTTCAGCAAATGGAAGCATGAAGTGCTCCAAAATCTCCCGATAGCTAGCTGCATTGACCCTGCCTTTGATAAAACATTGTGGACTAACACCAGGAGGTGACATTGCACCCCAGACCATCACTGACTGTGGGTACTTGACACTAGACTTCAGGCATTTTGGCATTTCCTTCTCCCCACTCTAGAATTTTTATCAGGTATTTCTAAAAAAATTAGCATATTGTGATAAAGTTTATTATTTTCCATAATGTAATGATAAAAATTCTACTCTCATATTTATATTTTAGATTTATTGCACACCAACTGAAATATTTGAGGTCTTTTCAAAATCATCAATATCAAAACAATAAAAGGCTTAAACTGCTTCAGTTGTGTGTAATGAATCTAAAATATTGAAATATACTGTATGAAAGTCTAATGTTTATCAGTACATTTCAGAAAATAATTAACTTTATCACAATATGCACATTTTTGAGGACCTATATATACACACACACACACACACACACACACACACACACACACACACACGAACTCACTCACTCACTCACTGTGATATAGTTTCCATTTTAACCTTTTTTTCCTCTCTGTTCTTGTAAACAGTTAACAGCTTGTGTCCATGGGTCTGTTGCCATGTTATATCCAATGCACTGGCAACATGTTTACATTCCAGTCCTGCCACAGCATCTATTAGACTACTGCTGGTGAGTTTGTTGGCTCCTATTGAAATACTTGTAGGCGAGACTTAACCCATGTGGTTTTCATATATATAATGCAAATAAGACTAAACCGTCTTTGATGTAGAGCAATTTTTACATTTGAAAAATCTGTTCAATATCCTTTTTTCCAATTGCTTGCTAGTTTTTGTGAATAGCAAGTTTATATACGAGTTAAATTTTTTTTTTCCACATTTAAAAATTTACACAAAAAAATTTGAAGCCATACATTTTCAAAACATTTGCAGGTATTTAATATGCCTGTGACATCCTTTTGTCAAATTATCCCAAGGATTAAGAATTACAGTGCACATTTCTGGGGCTGCTTTATGCCGTTGAGCAACTGCTCACCCTCCCTTCTCCTCTAGCAGGACTAATTCTGAGTACTGTTTTCATTACCGTGACATTTTACCAGACACATCCCACATGTGTATTTATACCCTGCTGTGTATGTATAGCATTGTGAAAAAATGCATTGACATGTCACTGGGAATACTGGTAATACATTTTCTCTTTTCTTCAACTGCTTATCACTGATCAGCAACAGTTTTGTAACTTTATCTTTATTTTCACCCATGCTAAGATTTATTCAACCTGACCAAAAAACTCCATTAAATTTGAGGGATAACATGATTTTCTTTTCAGTGCTCCAATGCCCTACCTGATTGGAGTCCATTCCAGCCTGATGGAGGTCAGTAATCTGCTCGTTGAAAGTATGAAATTCAGATGCATTAATTTATTTTTTTTTTAATCTAAAAAATGCTTCTCTTTCAATGTCCCGGAAAGCTGTTTTTTTAAAACACACTTTAAAAATGACAGCAAAAGCAAAATTCTGCACATATTTAAAAATCAAACAAAACAATCAAACATAACATATTTTATAAGCAATAAACCAGGAACAACACTAAAAACAATTGACAGCGTCTTTTTTCAGACACTAAAAGAAGGGCTCAAGTCTCATGCTGTGATTAACACAAAAGAATAAAAATGAGTTTTAAAAACGGACAGTCATGGGGCTTGTCTAATGTTACACGGGAGGTCATTGCATTGTTTGAGACCAGCAACAGAAGAACCCCTACACTGTCTGAGCTTCCGCTTTTTGTTAAGCACTTTTTTACAGCTGCAGCTGTTGTGAAAGCGGTATATAAATCAGGATGTATTGGAAAGTATTGTATTGAACTTCGGTACCTCCAGGAGCACGTGCTCAGCTAACTTGAGGCACCGGGCTGGAGTGTAGGGATGAAACATCTCAGAGAGGTAACAGTGTGGCGACACCATTTTGAGACTCTAAAACAAATAGCATCTTCTTAAAATGAACTCTTAAAACTTATTCAGTACCAGCCAATTCTCGACCAAGTCTGAAAAGACGTTTAAAAACGTCTTTGGGAGTGAATGAGTTAAGTGCAGAGATAACCTGTGGAAGGAGGCCAGAAGATAAGGGTACATCTGCCCATATGGCATTCTTCCAAAAGCTTTGTGGCTTTTCGATGTGGATTTTGTCCTCTTTTTTTTTAATTTTAATTTTTTTATTTTCAAAAGTGTTGTCCTCCTTGGTCATCTGGCCCTTTCCCTGATAAAGTCACTTCATGCGTCCATCCATCATCGAATCACTTACTGGTAATCTTCACGGGGGGTGGCGGGCGTACTGGAGCCTATCCCTGCTGAAGTCTAGCCCTGCTGACTTCGGGCAGTATGCAGGGTACACCCTGAACAGATTGCCAGGAAATCACACTCACTTCCTGTGGTCCATGAAAATGTCTTCACACACATTACCAAGCAGCACAGTGGCTACTTCTCATACTTTTAATAGGATGAATGACAACTTATAGGCTTGGACACATCTTAGTTGAACATGTTACTACGGTCAAATCATTTTTGTCTTTTCTATGGGTGCTATCAGTTTTGTTCAGGCTTGTTTTTTGAATTTATTTATTAAAATAATTCTGTTGAACCACAATTCAAAACCAAAGTCAGATTTTCATAGATTAATTTTCTTTAAAAAAAAAATCTTACGTCATCACTTTTATTAATGTTATGAACAGAGGAGTACCAACTATTTTGAAGATGTGTGTAGGTTGCTATAAGGATGTCCTTGTTACTGTCTGGGCAAAACATATTCTGATTGATATATTAGTTATTTTCTCTTTCATCATCTAATTTTGATATTTCAAGTCATGAAACTAAATGCAATAGATGACAAAATAAAGGGTTCATTAGAAATTTATTAAAAGCGCGCGCGCACACACACACACACACACACACACACACACACACACACACACACGTGCGTCCTTTATCTTATATTATACAAATAAACATTAGATTTTATTTGTACATTGTGTATCTTGATTTTCTTGGAATGACGTTGATTTCTTTTCTTTAGAAAGTTCAAGGAATGGCTATGGAGGATGTCGTGATCTTGAATGTGGACACAAACACCCTTGAAACACCCTATAACGATCTTCAAAGCCTACCCCATGATGTGGTGAGGAGCAATCACATGTTTTTTGTCTTTTCTATCCTGTCATTCCTCACCCATTTTGATGACCAAGATGGTCCTACGCACGCAAAGCATTAAACAACCTCAGCAACATTACAGTGCGACCGGAAACTGTATGCATAGCACTTTTTGTTGTGTTACAGTTTCATTCCAAAATGGAATATATTCATGACCATCCTCAAAATTCGACACGCAACATCCCATAATAATTTTTTTTTTTTTATTCTAACAAATTTATTTCAAATAAAAATCTAACAAATCACATGTACATAAGTACTTACAACTTTCAGTTTCAGTTTCTCCACCCCCCAAAAAAGGTCACCTGTAACCGACGGTGACGCATGACCTCCATTGCAGGAAGTTGTTTGCGGTCAGCACTTCGTGCTTGCAGCTAGTGGTTAGGAGAGCCGTTGAGACATACTGTATATATTTTTTGTTTATTCTCATTCAAAGTTTGTTTGATCGGCAATTCACCGATGGCATTGTCAAAAAATCGAAATCTGGAGCACCAGGAGAAGCAATTTAAAATGGTACACGCGAGCCACGATAAGTGATGTTTCTGCACTTAACATGCTACAAAAGTGCATCCCTGCCTCCCTGTGTCAGGTCTCCCACTAAGGTAGGCAGTGATATCCTTTTCAAAAACTCAGTATTATCTTATAGCTCGTTTATTTTTCTGTTTCGGTCATGTTTTAGGGTCTGTTATGGCGGTTGCTCATCATAGCATGCCCGTGCATGTGTATGCGCGCATGTATGTGTGTGTAAGTGTATGCATGCACGTGCGGTACGTTCGCGGGAGGTTGGATGCTTGAAAAGTAGATCTTTGGTCAAAAGAGGTTGGGCACCCCTGGTCTAAAAGGTCATCAGGATTGTACCTCTAGCTACAATGTGATGCGGGATAATAGTTAATGTAATACATTTTAAACTTAAAAGAAAAACGTTTACATAAATATTAGCAGACGTTTAGTCATCCTTGTCCCCTCTGCCGGGGTGCAGAGCCCACTCCGCTCACATTAATTCATGAATGCCTATCATCAGCAGCTCAGTTTTCTTTGTTTTTCAAACTTCATGCCAACTGCTGTGACCTGCTAACGCAGGTCAAGAAAGACAGAAAGAATAAATGCTAGGGTCATCAATCAGAAGGAGTCATCTTGCTTGTTCACAATAGTTGGCATGAAGTTTGAAAGTGACGATGAAGTCAAAAGTGTTGTGAGCGACTGGCTGAGACATCAGTTCAAATATTTTTATGCTGAGGGAACATGGAGGCTTGTGCACAGATGGGAAAAGTGTTTGACAGAGTCGGGAGACTACGTTGTCAGGGGTCGCCACAGCGAGTCAGTAATGTCCATCCGCCCCTGTAAACCGTCCTACCAACTCGCATGGTCGTCTTGGCAAAAGTTTTACGCCGGATGCCATTCCTGACGCAACCCTCCCCATTTCTCCGGGCTTGGGACCGGCACTGGGGAACAGTGCACCCCCGGGGGAGGGCACTGCCCCCCAGCGGCTGGGTTGACAGAGTCGGGAGACTACGTTGAAAAAAAGAAAGTAAGCTTCTATCTGTATTAGAAGTCCTGATACCAAAAAATGCAACTTTTCTTTCTTTCTTTCTCTCTCTCTCTCTCTCGCTCTCTCTCTCTCTCTCTCTTTCTCTCTCTCTCTCTCTCGCTCTCTCTCTCTCTCTCTCTTTCTCTCTCTCTCTCTCTCGCTCTCTCTCTCTCTCTCTCTTTCTCTCTCTCTCTCTCTCGCTCTCTCTCTCTCTCTCTCTATATATATATATATATATATATAAACACACACACTGTACCCGTATAATATATTTATATAATCATCCAGCTTCTCATGGCACTCAATATTAAGCAGGCAAAAAAACCAAGCCTGATGTTAATTTGGTTATTACACAAAATTGCAATGCAAAACAAATTGCCAATCACCAATCCTGAGATGAATGTTTCAGTTTTAGACTTTCTACATTGTACCTTAAATTAAATGTGAATGTGACTTTTTAGTAGCTGATTCAGATTCAGAAAACTTTATTTATCCCCGTGGGGCAATTAGGACTTAACAGGCACGCTCTGCACAAGAAACATGAAAAACAATGACGTACATGGGATACAGTGCAAAGGGCCTGTCGGTACTCGCTGTGTGCACAGCGCCCCAGGATCTTAGTTCAGAAAGGAAACCACTAGGGAGGGAGAGGGAAAAAAAACATGCTCGAACTATCCTGAGGATAATTTAAGTCCAGGAGAAAAAAAGACCCCAGCACGTAAACAAGCGTATGACAGTTGCAACAAGTCACAAGACATAACATGTAATGATGGGGGGGGGGGGGGGGGGGGGGGGGGGTGCGACACGGCCCGACCGTCGAGCTGCTCAGTCCATTCAAGCGCTCAGCAGATCAGTTCACGTCGCGGGGAAAATACAGGAACAATAAAGGCGGATATACAAGGGTGTGTATACGTGTGTGATGATGCTCATATAGATTAGATTTATTTATTTTTTGGGGAATTGTTCCATTAGGTTTCATCTCTAAAAAGTCGGCTGAGGAAGTTTTCAACAACCCCAGGCGATGGTGTGGCTCGTGCCTTCCTCAAGAGTCAGGCGGCTCTGTTTGGCAGCTACAGAAATGCTCTTCAGATTGAGTTGGTCAGTAAATCGTTTCACACTACAGATAACATATTTAACACAGAAAGAAACCACAGTTTGTTTGTTTATTTTTTTTTGGGGGGGGTGTTGTTTTGTTTTGTTTTTTTTTTTATGCCCCCAACACTGATGGTGATATATGCGACACTTTCTCAAATTGTTTTCTTAGACAACATGTAAACAACACTACACCGAGTGGGTATATGAAATAGTCATCATGTGATATTTAAACATCATGTTCAGAGCAATTTTTCATTCATTCATTTATTTAATTAGCGCAATTAAGAAACTGCGAGCAACAGCTCTTTAAAACAACCTTAATGAACGCCAAAAGGAAGAGGCGGAACTAAAGCTTAACCCAAACAAACCTTTCCCAATTTTAGAACTTGTGCTGTGTTGATTACAGCCACCATGCACAATACAAATAGACAGACAGACCAGAAATCATCTATCCATCCATTGACTTTTCTCTTTTTAATGATGAGCTGGAATCAATCCCAGCTGAGTTTCAGCAAGAGGCAAACTTCATCCTGGACTGTTTGCCAGTTGCGCTTCATTTATCACGGCTTCACTACATGTGCAGAGCTTTCAGCCGGTCTGCCCCCAAACTCTGGAACTCAATTCCACCCAACATCTGTGATATTAATTCTCTTCTCACATTCAAATCCCATTTCAAAATCTATCTATTCAAAATCGCACACTTAATTTAAATTAATCTTTTATTATCTATAATTTTATCTGTGGTTTTATTGTTCTTGATTGCAAAGTGTCCTTGAGTGTTTTGAAACGTGCTTATAAATAAAGTGTATTATTATTATTATTATTGTTATTATTATTGGTATGCCTACTATTACCGTATTGGCCCGAATATAAGACGGTGTTTTTTTGCATTGAAATAAGACTGAAAAAGTGGGGGTCGTCTTTTATTCGGGTTCTAGACATTACACCCATTCACAACGCTAGGTGGCGCCAGATATCATTGAAGCGAATGCTGAACTTGACTCCCCAGGCCAAAGTGAACCCCTGCCACGAAGAATAAAAATAAAAATAGCGGTAGCACGAAGAAGAAAAATAAAAAATAGCGGTAAGAAATAAAAGAGAAGAAAATAATAGAAGAGATAACAGAAAATGGAGAAACGTAACGACAATCTGGAGAAAAGTGGGTCGAAGAACGGCCAGGTTAACCAGCAGCTGAGGAGAAGTTATGATGTAATTTTGTGGTATGCTGTATTCATGATGCCATAAGAGTACACCATATTTTGATCCATTTATTTTTTTGAATAAACCCGGAGTACACAGCTGCTGATGTAATGTTCATTGTTAATGCATAGTTTTCAAACATTTACCCTTGAAACATTATACTTTTGAGTATCAGAATTCTTCATTATGAATATCAGTCGAAATTGAAAAATGGGTTCCCATGATGAACGTTTACGGAACCCAAAATTAGTTACAGTATTTTCCCATTGGGTAATCCGACGGAACCGAAAAAGGGTTACCGCGAATTTCGGAAATCCTCAAGCCTGCTACGGTACATCTTTTTTCCCCACAACGATCGCAGTTTGACAATCGCCGATTTGTTGTTTTGATCTGGCGTTAAGTAATCTCGCGTGACGAGATTGGCGAGATCGGGCTTCACCTCGTGGAAGCAGACGATTGCCAAGTTGTGTAACGTTAGAACAAGTGTTGCGAACAAGTGTTGCGAAAGTTTATTGTGGAGATATCACAGAGGAAGCAGCTAAAGTTGGGTAGTTTTTTGCGATAATAAGTTGACTTTGAGAAAGCCTTGCATCATTGGAAGCAGAGTAAAGAGAGGAGAATTTATGAACTCAAAGACTGAACCATGGGATGAAATAAGAACCTACTTCTCAGCAAATCTTGTATGCTTGAATTATTTAAATTTTTGCAGCATTTGTTTATAATTGTATGTATATGTTGTTGTTTGTGTTGTTATTATATGCAATTGAATAAGCAGACCATTTCAGAATTCAAAATTTGGGACTCTCTAAATGCATAAAGGGACTTATACTTTTCTGATCAGCGAGTCCCTGGGACTTGCTGGGGGTAAACTGTAAAATTATCACTGATAGTATGGTACACATCCTTACCCACCAATTGAAAATCACTGCGCTAGAGCACTGCAGATGTTTATTTATTTTCAGATTTTTAAATGTTTTTTTTGTTCATTGTCAGGGTGAACCAATAACATTTAATGAAGAAACCTTTGTAAACCATCGATTGAGTGCCATGAGAGTGTTCCTTCAGAATGCCATCCAGCTTCAACTTTTCAAACAGGTAAAAATTTGCATCCACATAAATTTTGTATGCATTATTGTATTCTACCCAGAGAATGATGGAGTCCGGAGCCAGAACACTTCAAGGGATTTTTGTGCTCAGATCACAGTCATGGTTTTATTTGGATCACGTTTAAACTGTGAGTCCTTTTAATACTACTTAAGAACTCAATTTGGGGCAAAATTTATTCTGTTTATTTATTTATATTTTCATAGACTTCATTAGTATTTTAAATGTTAATATTGTTTGTCAGTATTATTCCAATACATACCATGTACAAAGCTCTCATCGCAGTTTGTGAGTCAAAATGAGTATTTTGTGCCTTGTTCATACATATTGAAATCCAAAACTGCAAATGTGTGTTTATGTGGGGAAAATACGGAGCTGCCAAATGTTCTGGAAATCCACGAACGCTGACTCATTACACCTATAAGACGTGATTGTTTCATTTTTGTTAAAATAAATCACCAGTGGGTGTCACTAGTCAGTGGCTACCGCGAGTTTTCACTCTGTACCCTCAATGCAAGACTTAGGAGACGGGGAACGTAGTAGCCTCTGTGATTCCGTCATAACTGATACAGATTTATTTTTCTATTTTATGACATACATTTTATGGACTATATGTACGAGAGCTCAAGACATCATATTACTGCTGAAAAGAAGTACAAGAGGTGTACAAGCTTCCGGTTTCCATTGACTCCAGTCATCTGAAGAAAGAAATGACCGAATTCTTTGAAATTGTGTTACCATTGGTCTTAATAGTCGAAGTGTCATCTGAATTGGTGACTTTTTAAAGATGAAGGAATCACTCCTCCAGCGAACTTTGTGGTGCTCCCGCTCAGCCAGTACTACAAAGGAGAGAGAAAGTTGATAGATTTCGAGAGATTTAGCGATTGAAATTAGTGCTGTCAGACAATTAAAAAAATTGTGCGATTAATTAACTCATTAAATCCCAGCCATTTTCACTGGAGCAACCCCCTCAATCCCAGCGTTTTACTGGATTTTAACTGATCTTGCAAGGCCCACAGAATATTTGGTTCTAATGCTCTATAAACATGGAGCCAACAAAATAAATTGGACTCTTCTTTCAGCAGAAAAAAAAATGTTTTTCTTTCTTTTAATCTTTTTTTTTTCATCTTGAATGATATTTGTCCATTCTTCAGCAGTTTCATGAGAATGGCGATTCCTGGGCAAAAAACGGAGAAAAAGAGCTTTTTGTAAAAGCATGCATTTCAAGCATGTGAGGCTCCACTGCCACCTACTGGTCGCTTTTTTACATGATTTACAATGCAAATGGCTTATTCTCATTCACAGATTGTATCAGACCCTCCTCCTCTCTATGACGCAAAAAAAAGACTTAGACATACAAGTACATCCTTGGTAGGCGGGGCCTAATTTTAAACAGACGTACAAGTACGTCTTGTGGAATTAAAGAGTTAATTAGGTCTTTAATTAATTAATTAATCTATATTTTAATCTAATCTAAAAATGACTGAGAAAACCCCTATTTTCATTTTAAATTCGTCACATTATTGAGGCAGATCAAAAGATAAAAGAAAAAGTGGCATTATAAAGTATTTTCTTGTTTTTCAGCAGACTTGGACAGATGCAGTCCTAGCCATTTACTTTCTGCTGTATTTGAGACTAGTCAAAGTCCTACCTGCAACCTTTAGTTTCGACCACAAGGGGGAATATCACTGTTTTGTTTGTTTTTTGTAAATCTCCAAAGAATTACAAAATAAAAATAAAATAGAACATCAGGTCTTAAAAAATGCTTAGGGTAACATCTTAAAAACAGTAAGAACAATTTTCTGAGCAATACAAGTACTTAACACTGAACTTGCTTCAGATGATAAACGATAAATACAACAGACCCTTAAATCACAGTGCTGTAAGTTCGCACTTCAGAAATAACTGTTCATCATGACAAACTAAAAGTGCTGAAATAAACATCAATCACTTCTAGTAGTCTACAGAGGACACATCAACTATGCCTCGTACGTGCGGTGTTCTCGAGTTTAGTTTGCCAAAGAGCTGTGCTTTGTATGGCTTGCTCGCTATATTGATAACGCTTTCGGTGCTAACGTTAGCTGTGGCTGCACTTGCGACTGGTTGCTTTGCATTGATGTGGGAGGCTAAATTTGAGCTGCTCCGGTGGTAAGCAAACTCCTTACAAATTAGGCACAACAGTCTACCTTTATTAATTGTGTCGTCAGGGCGTTTTTGGAATGTAAAATTTCCATTCGTTGTGCTGAGAACTCTCATATGCTGCTGCATTTTCACCCTCCACTCCTCACTGCTGCTTACTAAGCCCGCCCAACTCCAATGGGAGCCTATCAGCTTCGGCTAAACAAGCCCCAACATAATGGCAGCCAATCAATGTATGCTTCAGGCTGTGACTGACAGTTGTTTCCCCACCCTCAACAACTCGAACACAGGAAGCCAACGCATAAAAAGGGCTATTAGAAAAAAGCAGCCCACCTACAGAAACAATAACGGCAGAGATTAAAATGTAGATTAAAGCAATTAAAAAAATAACGTGCTAAATGTGACGTAATTAATTAATTGCAGTTAATGCGATAATTTGACACCTCTAATTGAAATATCGAATTAATGAAGGTCGTCTGTATGTCCTTTGCTTTGTTTTTCCTTGTTTGGCTTGGGAACGACGAGTCACCAAGCTGTGCTTTCTCACTCCCTCGCTATCGCTGCGAGGCACACGGCTCGAGATGTGCGATAATGCTGGCCACACCATCGAAAAGCTTCATAATGAATTTTAGAAATCAATTTTTGATGAGCTATGGTGTCTTTACAAAAGAGATTTTTTTTTTCAGATTAGCTTCAAATATGTTTATCTTTAAAAAAAAAATTCAGTCACTTCTAAAATAATCACATTTAAAAACATTATTATTTATTATTGCATTATTATTACATATTTTGTGTTAGTGTGCAACAGCCTGCACACCCGATCAGTCTCATGTTCACTCTTTATTTTTTAAAGTAGGTTACATAAAACCTCACTTCCTGTCCTTTCAAATAAAGTGGGTTCGATCAGAGTTGGGTGGATGCCGCCAGGGCAACACATTTCCGCCGTTAATTGTGGATGAATGTGCATCCCTGCACCACGTGGCTCCAGCCCAGCGAGAAAAAAAAATGGTACCCCTACTTAAAATCATCCAGGCAATCAACCATTTTTTTCCGACCTGGGTCCTCTATTCCAGTGTTTTTCAACCTGTGTGCCGCGGCACACCAGTGTGCTGCGAGACATTGTCAGGCGTGCCGCGGTAAAATATCCAATTTGTATGCCTCTGCGGTCTTTCGCCCACAAAGTAATCATGTAGTCCCCTCCCATACCGCTAGGGAGCAGCAACAGCTAGCCAATTGCCTTGTGTTTCGACGAGAGACAAGCAAATTTGTGACGCATGAATGCAGGACGACGGTGAAACAATAAATATGAAAGATGATAAAATACTTTTTTCTTGGTGTTCATTTGATTCCAATTCCAGCTGTTATAACATCATTCTTCAATGTTAAAAACAGTTATAGTAACAATATAACACGTTAATTGTTAAAATAAGCAGGTTTTTTTTTTTCACATTTTCAGCTAGTGGTGTGCCGTGAGATTTTTTCAATGAAAGAAGTGTGCATTGGCTCAAAAAAGTTTGAAACACACTGCTCTATTCTACACTTTATGGGGTTGAGGTCTGGGGACTGAGATGGCCATGGGAGGAGCTTGATTTTCTGTCTGGTGCCCATAATTATGGAGGGCATTTTATGTGTACAATAGATTCACGGTTTTCGTGATTAATCCGTTCCAAAAATTGTTAAACTAAACCAGTTCATGCAAAAAGCAAAGCAATATTTCCCTGAATGGGGTACATATCAGCATGATTATGATTATACAGTATGCCCATAAAATACAGTAAATGGACTAATATCTGTCATTGCTTTTCACTGACACTTTGTTGGGAAACTCTTACATTGTTAATTTTTTTTGTTCATAAACCCTTATATCTACACATTATATTTATTTATCTTTGAAAATGAATCACACGCATATGAGAAAAGTTTCACTGTCGAAATACCAAAGTAAAACAACTTGTTTTTCCAATGACAGTTCATTGATGGCCGTTTGGAGCTATTAAACTCCGGAGAAGGTTTCAATGACATCTTTGAGGAGGAGATCAACAATGGCAATTATGCAGGTGAGCCAGTCTTGATGTATCGTTGTGATTGTGAATAAACTGAATAAACATGCGTGAAAACCTGTAACCATGGTAAATAGCACAGCCACCTTACGCTGTGTTTTCTGTGCTATTCCTATTTATTATTTATTACTGCATTGGCCCGAATATAAGACGGCCCTGATTATAAGACGACCCCCTCTTTTTCAAGACTCAAGTTTGAAAAAAGACTTTTTGAACACCAAATTAATTTTATACAGAAAATATTTACAGTACATCTGAAACAAATGATTATAACAATGTATTTGAGAGAAAAAGCATGTTATTTTGCGTCATTCAAATCTAAAGTGCAATCACATTCATAAATGAATGGCTTCTGGTTTTTGAAACGTAAATTACATCATAACTTCTCCTAACCTTCTCCATTTTCTGTTATCTCTTCTATTATTTTCTTCTCTTTTCCTTCTTACCGCTATTTTTTATTTTTCTTCTTCGTGCTACCGCTATTTTTATTTTTATTCTTCGTCGCAGGGGTTCACTTTGGCCTGGGGAGTCAAGTTCAGCATTCGCTTCATTGATATCTAGCGTTGTGAATGGGTATAATGTCTAGACCCCGAATATAATGCAAAAAAACCCCGTCTTATATTCGGGCCAATACGGTATATTTATTCTACAAATATATTGCTCATGCTTTATTTTATATTGAACTGTGTACAGTTCTTTTCTGAAACATTTATTTTGTGCAATGAAACACTTTATCCCCCCCCATCTTGCTGCTGTAGACTGCAAGTGTGGGACAAATAAAGTGTGGGACAAATAAAGGTTGTCTTATCTTATCTTAAGGCTCTTTCTATTAATTGTCCGGCCACCATCCAAGATTCGAGAGGTGGGCTACTAACCTAGAATACGTATACTTGTTTGTTCATGAAAGTTTCTTGGATGGTTTGGTGCTGTTGTAATTTAGACTCTCCCAATACATAGAATCTCAAAAACCTTTCACTTGGTAGTTTTGTGTGAGCTGATTTTTGTTTAGAATGTCAATGTTTATAATATACAGCCCAAATTACTGGAGTTTTATATTGTAACAGCCTTTGTATGCTCAAGTATACCATCAGAAAGCTTTTATCCATTTCTCAGTGAACAGTTTTCAAAATGTGGATGATGATTAGACTGACCTGAGGGAAACTCCTCAAAAGCGAAAATGGTGCACATTTTGGCAACATTTCAGTATTTGATGAATTTGTTATGAAAATTACATTTTGCGTGTGAATATTGACAAACCTCACTTTCAATCCATCTCTTATATTTGAGGGAGTTTTCTGTTTTATCATAGGCCATAGAAAATATGGTTCCAGAAAGGAAATTCAAGGCATTGTAATCCCTTTCTTATTGTATTCATTCAGATATATTTGGCTACATTTCCTAAATCATCTCAGTTCCTTAAACATGTCTACAAAAAAATAAAAAATAAAAAAAATTAAACATTTGATCAGTTTTCTCCACAGGAAATGATACATCTTCTCGTATCCTAAACATATTCACAGAAAAATTGAAAGATGTTTTAACAATTCTCTTCACAGGAAATGATACATCTTACCACCAGTGGCTAATCACTGTGAAGGTGAGTAAAATCAGACCCATCACCACCCCATGCAGAATTTTACCAAGTCTATTGTGCCATTTGTATAAAAATATGCTAATTGTATGTGGGGGGGAAAAAAGTTGTTCAACCATGAGGATAATCGGATTTAGACAATGGATGGCTGGATGGATGAAAAAGTTCAAAATGTGCGTCGAAGTGGTTGGAGACATTATCATAAAAATACAATTCAAAATCTAACTGCACCTCAGTAGTCCTCTGTTGTGTCCTGTTAGATTACCGTAAATTCCGGGCTACAGACCGCACCTGATTAAGAGCCACATGCTCAGATTTATGAAGAAAAATCAATTTTGTAATTATATGCGCCGCACCATACTGTAAACTGCTGACCAATGAGTAGGCGGGGGTTTGCTTCTGCATCCCTGCCGCCTGGAGCGCCTCCGAGTGAGGCCGCGTACGCGGTCCCCCGCTGAACCCCCGCAGGAAAAAACGCAACAATTTCTTAAGGTTAAAATAATCTCCATATTTTCATGAGCATGATAAATGCCTTTGTACAATGAAATTACGCTGAAACACATAATAAGAGGCCAGACAAAGACAGATCTTGATGCGCATTTGCGTAATTACGAGGAGAAATACTGCAGCCCACTAGGCTTTAAATAGAATAATGCAAATCATATAAATGGGAAAAGATTATTTCTCTAGTCAGCCGCTTAAAAATGATCATCGGTGGCAGCTTTTGGCCCGATGCTGCGCAGCTCAAAAGACAGGTAAAATGTGTTCTCTTGTGGCCGCTTGTTTTCAGTATGACGGAGGAGTCACCTTTTTTATTTACAGTCCTAGTGAGGGGCAAATCAAATGTGCATGGGTCTTTTTGGTTGTCTTTTTACACTGGCTCAGTTCTTCTTGCCGGAGCCTCCACCTTCGCACCATCGACTCGTCTATGCCAAGATTACGGGCAGCAGCTCAATTTCCTTCTTTAACTGCCAGAGTGATCGCTTTTAGTTTAAAAGCTGCATCATATGCTTTTCGTCTGGTATTCTCCATGTTGATCAGGGTTAGAAGAAAGACTGAAATAAGGAAGTTGTGATTACCGGTAATCATACAATTTCATTGGACCCCTGTGTACTACTCATTCATTTTATTGGTCGACTGTTGCCAGGTAACACATTTTTCCCCGCTACGGCTAGAAGAGCGGAAGTTGTGATTGGTCATACAATCTCATTGGACCTCAGTGAACTACTCATTCATTTCATTGGTCCATGTTTTTCCCGCGATGGAAAAAAAATAATTAAAAAGCCGCTTCGTATTACACGCCGCAGTGTTGAAAGTGTGGAAAAAAAAGTAGCGGCTTGTAATCCGGAATTTACGGTATGTCTACACCTTATATTTAAAAAAAAAAAAGTATTACAGTGATCCTCTCGCTATATTGCACTTTTTTTTATCACGGCTTCACTGCTACAAAGTACTGTATTCAGAAAAAAAAATTCCGTACGGCTCAGAGGTTTTGTACATGACTGTATGCCTGATTGGTTCCCCGCGCGATGTTGACCAGTGACCGCATGAGTGGATTTATCCCGTGAGCTGATTGGTTGTGCATGTCCGCAGCCCGCCCAGCACCTTCCCTTAAGTCTCGTCACGCTGTTGCCTCTGATCAGTGTCTCGTCACGCTGTTGCCTTCCTGATCAGTGTCTCGTCATGCTGTTGTTTGCTATGTGCGCGGAGATGGGGGGGAGGAGAGAGAGACAGAGAGAGAGAAAGAGAAAGTGAGTGCGAGAGGAAAAAAGAGAGAGAGAGAGAGACAGAGAGAGAGAGAGAGAGAGACACGGGGAGAGAGAGACGTAGAGGGAAACTGATTGGGCTTGTCCGAAAAAAGCAGCACGTCTCTCTTCGCCTCGTCATCAATAACGATTGTCTTTTTTTTTTTTTACCCTTTTTTTTTCAATCACCTACAATATGTACATTAAATAATGCAAGTGTTCCCCCCCCCCCCCCCCCCCCCCCCCCCCCCGTTTGTCCTGACAGAAAGGGAGCGGGGCTATTTTGAACACAGTGAAGACCAAAGCAAACCCAGCTATGAAGACAGTGTACAAATTTGTGAGTACATAATGTTCAACCTAGGTTCAACCAAGAGTTCTTTGCTTCTAGTCTGCTTCTATTGACAGGCTAAAGACCATGCCAAAATGGGCATCAAGGAAGTGAAGAGCCGGCTTAAGCATAAAGTAAGTAGGTGAACACAACAGGGCTATTGACTATATACACTGTATATCCACTGTGTTCAAGTCACTTTAAAATTAATTTTCCCAAAATTGTGCAATTTTTCAATGCATGTTTTTTTTTTTTTTCCACATCAAAAATGTTTTTTTCACTGCTTACAAATAATGGGTATTTTATTGAGGAAAACTACTACCATCAAGACCACAGTATTTGTCACGTTCCAGTGGTGGAGGGGTTTGTATCTCCCAATGATCCTAAGAGCTAAGTTGTCTGGAGCTTTAGGCCCCGGCGTGGGTCACCTTTGGCAAACAGTTCCTCGTTCAGGGACCAAACACAGCATGGCTCATAGACCCCTTATAATGATTAAACATGAGTACCCACCCTTTTTAGGAGCCCTTGAAGGGTTTGCTGGAGAGCGCTCCTTCCTTTTGCTGTAGGACTTTAATGCTTACGTGGGCAATGACAGTGAGACCTGGAAGTGCGTGATTCGGAGGAACGGCCCACCAGATCTGATGCAAAGTGGTGTTCATTTTGCACAGGGGCCCGATTGAGAAACTGGATTGCTTGTTGAGGGCCAAGCCACCATGCTAACCTTGACCTTGCCGATATTATATTTCATTTACTTATTATAAAAGCATAGTCCTGTCTCAATAAATTGTTTCGTGTGTAGATATGTTATGATATTGTTATTGTGGCGAGATGGAAATTTTAGACATAATTATAAGCAGTTATTAAAATTCCATCTTTACACTTTTAAATCATAACATGAATATTGTGCACCAACCACCAACTCATATTACCTGTTGCGAGTTAGGTTTATTAAATATATAGATTAGTGGGAAATATATTATTGACAGTGATTTATCATGATATAGTAATGACGTAATACTGCTCGAGGGCTCAGAAAAGTTGCAAAATTTCGCGAAACCTTTGCTATTTTGGCAATGGTTCAGACAGAAGGTGTAGCTCTTGCTTGCCACCCTGCTTTTACTAGCATCCATACATGTCCACATAAAATAAAAACACAATTTTCTCAATAAAGGCACTTATAATAGAGAGCTGGTCTGCCCTAACAGCTTGACTTTGGTTTTTAATGAATCAGGACAGCATTTGATTGACATTGTTAGTTCAGTTTTGGCATTCACAAAAATAATATAATCAAATGATAAATTATGTCATATATTCTGCTTGGTTTTTTTTTTAATCATTTTTTGCAAAATATTTTTTACAGACGACTTTGTCAATCTACAACTTCTGCGGCGTTGGATCCCCGTTTCTCGTCTACCTAATCTGAACTACAGAGTCAAAACATCACAGTTTTACATTAACAGTTATTGTTTCCACATTGCAGGAAAATGTCGATAATGGATCTGGAATCATCGCTGGAGACAATGACTTCCTTGCAATTAGAATCAAGAGTGGGAGGTCACTGCAGACATTGGATGAACACAGAATGAACTGGCAGTTTGGACTTGTAAGCATTTTCACATTTGTTTATAATGTATTTGAAAAAGAAAATGTTATTTAATACATTTCAATTGTGTGTAGTTTGAAGTACTGTAAAAGCTGGACTCTTAGTTTTGAAATGTTTTTTGTTTGTTTTGCTTTTACAGAGACAGTCACCCGTGCAGTTGAAGAAAAGCAATTGTAATGAAAGTCTGGAAGGTTCTCATGACCCGTAAGCCATCTTTTATGATAGATTAACAATACATTGTCCATTTTGTAATTTATAAGAAACATCACTGCATATTTTAGTGGTGGCCTTGTGAGCAACTCATTCAACTATCGCTATGAAAGGGCAAGTTCAATTAAAAGGTTTCAAACGGTTGTTAATGCTGTGTAAACGCATCAAGTGAGGAAAGTTGTGTGACCTGACTAGAACAGAACCTTATTGTCACTATCACAAGAACAATAAAGTCTCTGTTTACAGCCATTATTGTCAGTTTGATAAGTGCACATCAGCGGGCACAGAAGCCGCGAAAAAAAAAAAAAAAGGGAAAAAATAAACATGAATTAATCGATAAAATTGATGAATTGCACTGCTGACCCTCATCATCCCAGCATTATTATTTTCTGCACAGTGGAGAGAAGAGGGGGATATCTCCTGATAACTTATTTTGACATCTCAACTAGGAAAATCCAGTAGTGGTGCTTCTCCTTACGAAATTAATATTTCTTAACTAGAAAATTTTGTAAGTTGAGACGCGTTTTCCATGTAAATGCCTTAATCTGTTCTAAACCTCGCAAAATTCGGACATAACTGTTTTATGAAGCATAAAAATGCATCAAAATATGTAGCAAATACATGTTACAATTAGATTATTGCACAATAAATGAGAGTTGTGCATAATGTAAAAAAACAAAGAATAAAGAGAAAAAAAAATGATGGTCATTTAACTTTTAACTGCTTCCTCATCGTTTTTTGCCCTCTTTAGTTCATGTTCTCTCTCAGAAGTGGTTTTTGCCTGGCGTTTTGTAAAGAACCGATCCAAGGATGTTTGCTTTTGTCGGCTTTAAACAATCCTTCAAAAATGTCCAAGGCAAACATCAGCATAGTGAGCAATTGCTCAACTGGTGAACACTTTTTCTGGGTGATTCACATTTACGTAAAACTGTCGGAACGCCTCATGGCCAGAGGGGTGAATGACGAGGACGCTGCATAGACACTTATCTATTTATCTATCTATCTACACACATTGACACATCGACATAGACACATACTGTAGACACATCTTGTTACGAAATTTCTTTCGTAACAAGAGGCAATATTTTCCTGTTGAGGAGTTTCATAACTTGAACATTTCATATGAAGAGACGTTCATAAGTAGAGGTACCACTGTATTAGCATTTATTTCTCATAATATCAGGACACTTTAAAAATGTGCAAAAAATGTATTCTCACTGTAGACATTTTTGAGTATAAAATTGAGGATGTGGCTATTGGTCAAAGCCCAAAAATAGAGGGAGGATTAGTAGTATGTGCTATGATGTCATTTTATGTGTTGTATGTTAAGACCGAGGACCCCAATGCAAATAAGTCTATGACTTTAGTGAGCCATCTTTTACATTTGTTTTTAACGCATATGTATTGTAAATTCCTATGTTGAATTAACAATCCATCCATCCAACCATTTTATAATCCGCTCATCCTCACAAGGGTCGCGGGCATGCTGTAGCGTGTCCCAGTTGTCTTGGGGCAGTCGATGGGGGACACCCTATACTGGTTGCCAGCCAATCGCTGGGCACACATAGACCAACAAACATTCGCGCTCACAATCACACCTCAGGACAATTTGCATGCTTGTTGGAATGTGGGAGGAAGCCGGAGAAAACCCACGCAGGCACGAATTAGAAATAAAAGTTTTGTCCGTACTCTAATCCAATCTTTCAACAATAGTATGAACTGTGAATTTGATTTGACCGCCTCATTGAGTCTAGGCATGTCTCCACAGGTCACAGCGATACTACTCACTAAGAGAGGCCGAGTGGATAGAAGAACATGATTCTAATTTGGGTATAGAAACTCCCAGCCCACTTCCAGAGAACCTCTCCAATGCCAGCATTCTAGCAAATTTCTTCAGCTGCCTTGATGAGCATGAGCCACTTCCTTTGGCTAAAAGCCTTGAGGACCTGAAGAGTCTGCAAGATTATGAAAAGCTTCAAACCAAGTTCACCAGTCAGGTCAGAGACACAGTATATTGGCTTGTATCATTTATTTTAACTTCCAGACGAGACTTTTGCCAAATGTTTTTGTTGCAGAGTACATTCTGAATGTTGTTCTTCTGTTGTTTTTTTTTTTTTAAATGTCTTTAGTACTTATGTTTTTAAATGATTTTAGATGTTGTCCTTTTAATCAGGGAAAGTACATTGAGTTACCTTTTGTATGATACACCCGATATAAATAAAGCTGCCTTGCCCAGCCTGTGGCAGTGTCAGTTACGAACCACATTATTTAGCTAGAGCTGTGTTTTTTATTCTTTTGAATGACCATTAGTGAACAATTCTTATTTACCAGGTCTACCAGGTCTCTTTTACAAATCAGTGTCCTTTGGCTTAATGTTTGTTATTTGTAACGTTCATCGTTAGCATAAGTACCAGTAGATTAGTACAGTAATCCTCTAATAATACAACGGTTCACCGGTTGCGGTCCTGCGATAGAGCAGATTTTTTTGTAAAATGTAAAATTTCCTCATGTGGAAATCCTCACTATTTAGTGGAAAACTGTGGTTTAAAGGATTCAAGCTGAAAGCGAATAATGGTTATATAAGAGAAGCTGCTTGCTGGTACGATATTCCATGACATGTTAATGATGTGTTATTGGGTATTCATCAAGATTTTGGTAATGTGTCGCATGATAAGTTTCTGCAAATACCAGCATTTGATATGATATTGCTGGTAAATTGGGATCCATGTATTTTGTTAAATTTTTTGCGCATTTGATGGCAAAATGAAACAAATATGTATCCAATCTTTTTTTGACTGCTGAAAAAAAAACAAATAAGCTAACATCATTTTTGTGTTTGCAGCAGGAGGACCTTCATTTCTGTGAACACTCACAATTATCTCCGGACCTCAAGCTCCACAACGCTTTCAAGCTGCTGAGTAAAGAATCAGATCAAACTGAAATTCCTTCTTGGGAACCTCCGACCTGCAAGAAAACTCAATCAGCTCAACTTCTCACACAGAAAAATGACCAAAATAGTAACAGTACAGGCGCTGAACCACAAGACCTGTCCAGCAACGGCACTATCGCCATACCTCGTCCTCACGTAAGGAAGAGTGCTGAATTTGGAACGGTGTTAGCACCACTCATTGGTCAGTCTCAATCGAAACCTAATGAGGAAAGGACAAAAACAGGGGGTCAAGAATTTCGAAAAGCCCTGAGTAAGACCTCAGACGTGTTCAATGTTGCGGATGATCACATGGATTTGATAAGCCTTCTGGACCCCCTTAACAAGTCACCACGGACTAGTTCCATGTCAGCAAGGGATGAAATGAATATTGACGTGCTCTCAGCATCGTGTCAAACAACAACTCCTCCGAGATCTTACCCACTCAGCCAGTCTTCTTTTCAGCCGCATCATCACATATCACCGACTGTCTTTACTCAGTCTTTCCGGCATTCTCTTCCTCAAATGCAATATTTGTCAGGTGGGAGAAGAACACCTTTGAATCCAGTTTATGGACCACCATGTGCTTCTTATCTACACAGTACAACCCAGCCACCGCATTTCCCTGCACTCTCAGAGGTCTATAAACAGCAATTGCCTGACAATTCTACTCTTCTTCCCAGTTATCGAATGGGCAACTCTTCCCCGTGTATCCCACTGCTTCACTCGTCAACCAGCACTCAGGCCCTTTCAGGACTGACGGACTCAATGCCCATCCCGGGCACTGCTTCCAACACACTAACAAGGCCACTTGAAATGGAAGAAGGCAACCAGAAAACTCAGGATCTTTTTGGCGATCTTCTGACAATGATTAAACCAGCCGCACCTCTTCAAAAGAGCATCGATCAACTCCAAAAGACGTGGGAAACATTTGACTAAAACCTTGCCATGGATTTATTCCTCTTTGACAGAGGCGGATGTGTTCATTCTTGCATGAAAAACCTCTTTGGAAGAACTTGAATTATAGCATCAGGCTGATTAAGAATCAGTACATTTGTTCCTTACGCAAAACAGAGACTGTGATTAAATTATGTTTATATGAAATGTTACGCGACAAATTAATAAAACACCACATACATTAAAAACCTACAGTACGTACCATTCGAAATCTTTCTTGACCGAAGTAACGTCAAATTCAGTCGAAACATTGAAATGATGTTTTTTTTTTCCCTTTGGTTTCTGGCAGTTTATTGCGACAGTCTTAAGGATTTTCATACTTACAGCACTGCTTCATTATAGTAATTTCTAAACAACTTGAGTTAAAATTTGTTTATGATCATATTTTGTAATATGCACTGAGCTTAAGTTTCTTCAGTCAGTACGGAGCACCTGAGATGACATGAAAGACCAAAAAAAAAGTGAAGGTTGTGGGGAAAAAAAAGCTGTGCAAGGCAAGATTTATTTGTTTTTTGCCTGCAGATCAAGTTCCAGGGATACAAAGTTAGCGTCTAAGGTGAAGGGGCTTCTAAAATTTACTCTTGGCAGACAGAAATTCAGGAAGTCAAACTCTCTTGAAGCGAGTGAACTTTTCAGCACTTTTATTCATTTTTCTGTGTTATTCATCGTAACTACGCTGTTGCCTCTTCCCATGCCATTTTTGCGGCGCAACCTCCAGGCTGTATTCAACTCTTCCATTAATAATGGTGAAGTACATAGAGATCAGGGATGGGCAAATGGCGGTCCCCGGGCCACATGCGGGTCTTATATTCCTTTATCCTACAACGTGAGCAGGCCAAGTGTGTGTGTGTGTGTGTGTGTGTGTGTGTGTGTGTGTGTGT